CATGTGTCACCTTTTTTTAATACTGGTATAACTTTGGCTAATTTTAAGGATTTGGGTATTGTCCCAGATGTAAATGATGTATTAATGGTATAAGTGAGTTGATGTATAGATAATGATAGGCCTACAGTCTTTATAATGCGTGGGGATATATAGTCATGACCTGCTCCTTTACTAAGGAGCAGGTGAATAACAGAAATAAATTCTGCTTCAGTTACTGGTTTTATAAAAAAAAAAAAGAGTTCACTGAAGAATGAGGTAAAAAAGAAAGTGGATCAATATCGCAAACTATTATATATATAACAGTATAAAAAGAATAGAAAGTTTCGCATTCTAGGCGGGTACAACAATAGTAAGACACTCAAGGCACTCACATGAACAGGTATATTTCAATTCATATTTTTAAATCAGAGTTATTTTTATTTTATAGCAGATCACCAAGAAGAATGCAACGGTAGCCTAGTAGAAATACCCCGGCTGACAGAAGATAACAAAAAGACAATTGCAGGTTCTATTATATTCATGTTCAATATTATTCAATATTTGATAGGCAGCATAAAGCTGAATTGTATCAAATTTACAATTCATTTCACAAAAAAAGACCTAACAATAAAAGCAATACAATTCAAAACACACAAAATACAATTTTGATTAAAGTTATCAGATACAGACTGTAATTTAATAATAAATTTGAATTATAATGATACTAAATACGAATGAACACGTAACTAAGAAAGAAACATTAAAATTAGAGAAAATGAATAAAGAGAATGGAAAGACACAAAATGCATGAAAAGACAAAAAAAACAACAGAAAATTATTGCACAACAGACCAAGCAGATTGAGAACTTTTCTTTACAAATAATTTTAGGACATTAAACATTAATTAAATAATTATTAAAAATTAATTATTATTAAAAATTATTAATTTATTACATATGGGTTAGCAGGGGAATAAACTGATAAGCTTGACAACAGAGCGTGTGAAATTGCAAACTGCTAATGATGTCGTGCATCTTATTATTCGGCATTCGTTCCATATTCTGAAAGAGGTTCACATTGCATTTTATTGATTTCCTTTTTTAGATAAAAGCCTTAGTGACCATGTCATCGAACTATTGGTTAAGGAGATAGGGAAGGATTACCGTACTATTGGAATCGCTTTGGGGTTGACTCCTGCGAAATTAGACCGAATTGAAATGGACAACAAGAATCAAAACATTATAAACGCTTTTAGAAACATGCTGTTGGCAGCACGTCAAATGCATTCTCCTAATAAACAGTGTGAAGTGTTTATCAAAGCATTTCAAGATTGCAATAGACGAGATCTTGCCGATATTATTATAAAAAATGGTAAGACATACTAAGTCTGTAAGCCTGGTTTTCACGAGAGCCCTAGTATCCGGATCGGGAGCTAACCGTTAGCGCTAACCGTTAGCACCTGTGTGAGAACGCCCGATCGGTTAGCGCTAACCATTAGCGGTATCCGGATATCGCTAAAGGCCAAATCAGACAGCGTCGTACTACGCAGCCCGACGCGATTTGTTGTCGCGTCGGGTCCAGGGACGTAGCCAGGATTTTGAAAGGGAGGGGG